CCCGGGAGGGCGCTGGGCGCTCTGTCCGCCGGTCCCTCGGGCAGCGCGTGTCGCGGCCGTCGGTCTGTCCCCAGAGCTGGGCCCTGTAAGTTACAGGGTTTTCTCTTCCGAGAGCTCTGCGCGCAATAAATAATCATAGCGTGCCCATGCGAAACTTACAGGAGCTGTTAAGCAACTCCTGCAAACTCCGGGAGTTCAGCATGTGATGTTTTAATGAGCCCTTCATATGATTTCAGTGACAGGCAAAGACCTTTCAGGCCTAGTTTGTTCTCTAAAAGCAAAGGGGGGGTGTGTGTTAATATTTAGCTATTCTTGTTGCATAGCCAGGACAGCTGGTGTTGCCCCTTTTTTTTCCCTCAGTAGACTGTAGCACTCAGAAACTTATTTTCTAAGATATCTTTGGAATATTCTTATTTCCCTCTTTTTCGTCTGCTGGTGTTCAGATAAAAGGGTTTACCGGGAGCTCATGACAGATGACTGGGAGTAAGAGAGAGATAAAGAAGGGGAGGGAAAAGGAAGCACAGTTTGGTGGATTAAGTGCAAAGAATTTTCACTTCAGTGTTGAAATGCTTTTAATTTTTAAACAGGAAAATACAGTTGCTGTAGGTGATGCAGTTTGTGCTGACCTGTCACATTCAACTTCGCTGTTCTTTGGTGTAGGTCCCAGTGATGCTTCTCCAGATGAAGGGGTAGTAGAAGATCTGCCTTTAATAGATGAGAAAGCTGTGGAGCAGCTAACTGAAGGATTGATTTCCCATTATCTCCCTGATCTTCAACGATCAAAATCAGCACTGCAGGAACTTACGTAAGCAAATTTCTAAAACCATCTTCACATACTTTGTTTCCTGCTTTTTTCAATACAATGTTCCAGCTCCCCTTAACTGGAATATAGTTTATCACAGCAGTTCTGTGTCCTGAGTGGAGCAGCATGAACAGTTGAGGGATCTGTGAGAATACCAGGGGGTGCCTGTGAGCACTTTGGCTGAAGAATGTGTAACACTAGAACACTAAAGTCCCCTAAGCTGGGTATAGCAGAAGGCATAGATTTCTTAAATGCTTGTTCACTTCTGTACTGAAAAGTCTGCTGAAAGCTGGATTTATTTTGCCTGCAGTTTGTTTCAGGGCAGCTTGTACTGGCAAAGTATATTGTTTGTTGTCCAGTCTCTAAGCTCTGTCCCAAAAGATACGCTTGAAAAATATAATTGAGATGCTAAACAGATGAGAATTCTTTGTACATTGATATCTCACTGAGCATAGCTGATTTCAAATGCAGGTTGGATCCACCATGGATACAGAGATCCATCTCAGGTTTTGCAGGGTACATTGGTTTGGGTTTCATGACACATGATGTAGTTGTTACTGCTAAGGACAACCTGTGTCTGGGAAGACTTGAGCTGATTTGTGTAGGATGGAGGATCCTTAATAAGCACCAAAGATCCACACAAGTTCTGTACAGAAATAACTTGGTCCTGCAGCATGACACAGAGGCATCCAAGTGGAAAGTCAAGAGCTAATTGTTTTTCCTTCATTTTTCCACTGCAGCCAGCAGAGTGCCTCTTCAGGGGTTTTGATATTCATCCTGGATATCCATGCTGTCTGATGATGGCTGAATTTGTGTGTACTCAGCTGGGATTTTTCTAAAGCCATTTACTTACGTCTTTATTGAAATCATCTATCAATGCATAAGAGGAATCTGATACTGGGAAGTGTGGATTCATATTGTTAGGATTAAAAGTCCTATTTGTTTAAAGGGCTGATTGAAAAACATGTGCAGCTCTACTTTAGGTTTATGCATCTTTGTTTGTTTGTTTGTTTTAGACAGAACCAAGTGGTATTACTAGAAACATTAGAACAAGAAATATCCAAATTCAAGGAGTGTAACTCCATTCTTGATATCAATGCTTTGGTAAGTACCAGTAATACCTTTTTAAATCTCTATTAGTGTCAATTTTATCGCTGAAGCATTAGTAGAAACTTGAGTGTTTTCCTTGTTCTTAATGACCTCTGGGAAGAAAACTAACCAGATATTTGTGACAAATTGTTGCTGGAGAGGGTAGGAACCAGCATATTTCCCATAAATAGGAAGGGCAGTGGGAAGAGAGAGCAGACTCAGGCAGCATTAGTCACTGTAGTTGTTCAAAGCCAGTAGCTAAAGCAAATGTACACCTTTTTTCTGCAGGACTGAGACTCCAACACAGGCTCTGTGTACCTCTCCACACTAGCAGGAAGGGTGCATGAAATACTCATATGTGGTGCATGAAGTGGAAATGTTTTTATTCTGTTCAATGAGTTCATTGTACCTGTTGAGATACAGTAGTTTTCTATATTATTACATGTAATATGTAAACTTTATACATAAACTTGAACATGTTTGATCCATTATCAAACTGGTTTTGATTGCCAATTTTTTGTGTAGCTTTATAAAACAACTATTCCAACTTGACAGTCACTGCTTTAACAGTTATGTGTTTTAAGTTTTCAGAAGCTAAACACTATCACAACAAGTTAGTGAACATTAGAAATGAAATGATGATGCTCCATGAGAAGACATCAAAGTTAAAAGTGAGTGGGATGAATATTTTTACTTTCCAATATAGATATTTACTTGCATATTATTGACTTGCAAGTTTTATTCTGGATGCATGCTCAAAGTTCTGATTACAGTAGAGTTTTATCTGAAAAGGATGTTTTCAGTAGCACTAAGCCATCTATGTTTATAAACTTTCACTTAATCCTACTGTTGCTCAAGGAACTTAGACATCTGAACTACCAGTAAATCTCAGTGTGGTCCCCATGTTTAGGTGGTATAAGAATCATGTGTTGTTCTGCTGCTTAATCCACTCCACTCCAACTAGTTCTCTTTGTTGTTTCACTTTCTTTTTACTGAAAACTAAGTATTACAAATGCAAGAATATCTCCCTCTATTTAATGTACCATTAATGGTGTAAGTTCACTGACTTGACATGCTATATAGACAGTATCTGGTTACATTCTGGCAAGGTTAGTCCTTCAGTATGCCCTTCAAGAGGATTTTCCCTTGGAGGTAATAAATTGCATGGTAAGCACCTTTTCTGATATACTCAAAGGATGACAGTGAGACTGAAGGCAATCCAGTTTGTATTTTTTCTGTATAGATCACTGACTTGCCATTTCTGAACACTGAGATAGAAGTGGGAGGGACAAAGCAAAAATGAGCAGTTTATGCAACATTCAGTCATAAGGAGGTGGACTGGAGAAGATGATGTTAAGGGAAGGGGAGGGATTTTGTTTGTAGCTCCAGCTTAAACACAGCTGTAAAACTTACGTGGATTGTCTTGTCCTTTCTGTTTAGAAAAGAGCACTTAAGCTGCAACAAAAGAGGCAGAAGGAAGAACTAGAACGAGAGCAGCAACGTGAAAAGGAACTTGAAAGAGAGAAACAGTTAACAGCAAAACCTGCAAGGAGGACATGAAAGCAGAGCATGCAACAGCTTGTCCAAATTAATGGTTTCTGCATTCTCTGGAATTAAGACAGACTGATTAAACTGTGCTATAGCTGTTCCTAGCAGCAGTCTGCTCTGTGGTGTTATAAAGTCCAGAATGGTAATAATAGGGTTGGTAACAGTCACATTTTTTTCATTTCAGCCATTCAAGTTGCCTTCTTTTGTAATGCTATGCAGTTTGATATTATTGTAATGTAAGTTAATTTTTATATATGTATATATAGGAGAAGTTAGGCATCATAGTTTTAAATACCTATCCTTTTTTTTTTTTTTTTTTTATCTGTTCTTCTGGTGTTTAGAATTCTGAGAGAGAGCTGATGACTGGCACACATGTTCTTCAGACAAAATGCAGAGTACTAGTTAAAGTTCAAGTCCCATCACTGGACATTAGTGACTGCCTGTTTCTCTGGAATTGCTTTGTTTCAGGCAGTTGGGCACTCCCTTTGGTCATAAATACTGACTATTTGTGGAGCCTTAGTTTGACCCATCTCTAATGAACTAAAGAAAGTTCCAGTGTATTTGCCTGAAAGTTCACTTGAGTGCAGCATTTTTCTTTTTTTGTTTTGGTCATCAAGTAACAGCTTTAAAGTAACTTCTGAATGAGTTCCCAGCTGAACTGATTGGCAGGGGGGAAGCAGAACACTGAAGATTCTCAAAAGTGATGTGTACACAATGCAAAGATTCATGAATTTGTGCTTCCATAAATATCTGAATCAAACCAGGGAACTGTTGCTTCTGTAATCGTTTATCAGGAAGACTTGTGTGGTCTAAGCATATTTTTGTGGGATTAGAAGTTATAGGACCTTCATTTTGTATGACAAAATAAAACATAACCAAAACTAAAAAATTTCTACTTCATGTGAAATTCCTGTAGGAAAACTACTCCATTTAATGTTCTTTTCTCCTTAACAAATGAATCATTTGCACTTCAGGGCTATGTAAGAGAATTTTTGTTATGCTGTCCTCACCCAAATTTGGTTATTAGTATATCCTGATGATAACTCTGGAATGGAGGTTGATGTCCATTTCTCTGAATGTAATTCCTATCTTGCAGCACTTAGTGTGAACTCCCATTCAAATGAATGTACATGTTGTCTAGACTGGTAAAAGAGCTTTAAACTATTTGTTCCTGCAGCCTAACAAACTAGTTATGTTATATGTGTGTCATCTCTTAAGCAGTGAGGTAAGTGGTGTGTTTTGAAGTAAGATGAAGGGTGAGCTATGTAAAGTTTTCCATGTATGGGAAGGTATCAGAGGGGCACAGTCAATTTTACTTTCTATTTTAGATGATTTACACATTGTGCACCTGCCTGGGCTTCTCTGTATTGTCATTTTCTGAACTCCTAATTTCCTATTCTTAATTTTGTCATCCTTTTCTGTGAAAGATACACTCTAACAAGTACTCATCCAACACACAAGGTAAACTGGGATAATGTTTTGGGGCAAGGAGAACAAACTACTTAAAGCAGCTTGGAGACACTGAAATGCTATTACTGGAGCAGTATTAGATTCAAACTTTCCACAGGTATTTTTCCCTTAAATTGACTTGTGTCTGTTAATTGCCAGTGGATTGTTGGCCTGTGCTGTGGTTTGTATGTATTTCTAAGAGAAATGTAAAGAATTTCCACAGTCCGTTTTTTGGAGCAGAATGTACATAACTAAATGTTGTTTAAATATTTTATTTTGTAATGTAATTTCAAAATTAGATTCTGGGAATTGAAACAGTTCTCATTAAAGTGTAACATGAAACTAGATGCCTCAGTATCCAAATCAGGCTTAAATTCCTTTGGTATTTCTTAATTTGTGTTCCCTCATTCAGAATCCAGTTTAGTGTGTCAAGTTGTAGTCTCTTTATGTGAAGAACTGTGGGGGTTTTTTTCCCAAAGAACTGTGGGTGTTTTTTTGCTTTGTTTCAAAAATCATAGCTGCTTTTACTTGAAAACAGAGAATTTTGCATCAATTTCAGCACTTCTTTGGAATAATTTCTGACCAAAGGAATCAAAGCTGACAGTACTTGCCTGAGGAATCACTGACACACCTAAAAATGTAATCGATGAACTTTTCTCATAAAATTGTACTGAAATCTGGCTTTTTTTTTAATGAATATGTAACTAATTTTACTAAATGACCTTTCTGTAATAAAGGGGGAAAATGAATAAAATATATGGAGGAAGTTTGTTCAGTTTGTGTAACTTTTATTGATAAACTCTTAACTTATTTCAGTCAAAACAGCAATTCATTATCTCAATAGGATGTTGTTCTCCCAGGTTCTCTTGTGTCTGAATGCATAAAAAGTAAATGCTGTGTTGGATTAATTAAGTATTAATGACATCTAAAATTTTTTGCTTGCATTGACATGCACAGCTAGTGAGCAGTTCTGTTGTGATACGCATTTAGTCTTGCTTGATTTTATAAAAAATTACTTCTCAGGTAGATTAATGTGGTAGAATTAGACATTTTTTATGGACTTTTAATCCCATCCACAGGAGGAGGTGCAGTTGGCTGCATCTCTTAGAAAGAGATAAAATGACAGCTTTAAAACAGTCCTTTGGTACTGTTTGATGCTCAGTGTACTCACTTGTTTTTAAACTATCAAGTTATAGCAGCAAAAGACACTTAACTGTGCAGTAACTATCTGAATTTTAATTTTGTAAGATTCTGCAAGTTTAGGAATTACCATTGCTAACTGAGGAATCTTCATTCCCATGCTTTTATCTTTGCTCTTGTTAACCTGGAGGCTTAATTAAAGTTCTACCAAACAACTTTACATGAGACAATTTTTAACCCAGTGCAATCTGCCTTTTTCACTAATCGTGATATTAATAAGACAAATACTTATTTCCTTTTGGAAAATGGCCACATTTTGGGAAATGGTTTTACTCTGTGGTTTTACCTAAGTGATAATAGCATAAACCATATGCAGTGTGTGCCCAGCCCTCACACAGCAGCTTCCACCCTCTCATCCTCCCTGGATTCTGCTGCTTTGGGAGGGTTAGGCTGCACTCCCCACAGCTGCAGGAGGGGCCTGTGCTACAGGTGAGTGGTTTCATGCTTGGTTTATGAATCCTGTTTCTAAGGTATTCATCTAAGTAGTTTTTTTAATTAAAATTCTGTAAGAAGTCTGTGAGGAAATATACATGGGAGCATAGAGAAAGTATTTTAATATTTAAAGACAATCCTAGCAATACACGTTGAAAAAAACAACCCAACAATTTTATTGTGGACAGAGATGAGGATCAACTTTTGAGGACACAAAATGTGGAAAAAAAAGGCTATACCAAAGCAGCTGGGAACAGGAAGCCTGGAAACTCAAAAATTATAAAAATTGCAGTTTAGGTGTTTTTAAAATGTCACTATAGACCATGGGAGTTTTTTCTGTTTAGAGAGCTCATATGTATTAACAAAGATGTCTAATCTCCATATCATACTTTTAAAGGTGCTGGTTGTGTCCTCTTTCAGTGTCTTTTGTGTCTTCTTTCAGCACATTTTCTGTCCAATTAAACCCATGAAATGTAGGCGTCCAGCAGTTTTGAAAAGCGAACCTTTGCCTGGGAATGCACTGTCATCAGAGCTCATTTATTATTGATTTACTAAACGGTTTGGTGTTATTTCATTCAACTTTAATTATTTTGCTGTTTTCCTATCGATAGAAAAGAACCACTAGTTTAAAGCTCAGGGTTCTTGCTTGCAGGTAACCTGATAAAGTTCAGCTCTCGATGCACCAGAGGTCACTGTCACAGCTACTCCAGCGGTAGTGATTTTGGTGTAGATCCACCCCAGGTGAGCGACCTATGCGACGCAGCTCTAGGTGCGACTTCTGGGCTGCTGCCAGCCGAGCGGGCGGCTGCGTTGCGATAAGGAGCGGCACGGCTCCAGCTCTGCGGCCCGAGCGGGACTCGGAGGGGTTCGGGGCGGTCGGTGCCGCGGGGG